GCTAGAGATTAATATAACAATATTACTGTGTTAAACTATAGTTTAGTTAATTTTACTGTGTTTAACAGTAATATAGTTAATATTACTGTCAATCACAGCAATATTGCTTAAAGGGGAAAAACAAAGTTACAGGAAAAAAAAAAGAAGAAGAAAAAAAAAATTAAAAAAGTCAACGCCGGAGACCGACGTTGACCGCCGGTCAATGCCGGAATCCGGCGAAAAAATCCGGAACAAAGAAAAAAAAAGTTGAAAAGTTAACGCCGGAATCCGGCGGGAAAAACAATATTGAAAAAAAAATTGAAAAAAAAAAGTTTTTGGGTCAAAATTGAATAATTTGTGAAATTTGGGGGTCAAATTGAAGTTAAATTAAGTTAAGGAAGAAATTGGAGTATATTAAAGAATGAGGTGTTATTTTAGTTCTTTACAAAAATCTGGACCATGTGTAGACTTATTGGTAAAGGAGATTTTTGTCTGGATCTATTTATGAATAAGTACTCATTGATGGACTTATTTGTAATATGCTCTTTGTTTTTTAATTTATTTTATTGGAATTATATATAATTTTTTTGGAAATTCTGATTTCAGTTACAAACCCGGTTCCGTTTAAGTTAATGCTCGCTCACAGTAAGGTAAAGATTCCTAACTCGCACCCCCATCCCTTGGGGGCTTCAACACCTCATTTGTTTCAAAAAAAGATAATTTTTCTTGACTTCTATTTATTTTTCCCAACATTTCTTACGTTTTATTTTCAGGCGTTCATGATGTCATTTGTTTCCAAGGACGAACAATTGGCGCCTTCGCCAAAGGGTTCTCAAGCGAAGCGACTTCGTTCAGATGGACTTCATCACCCGCCATCTGGCGCGTACTCTTTTCTCCACGGGATTTGATCTTACAATCAGCAGCGGGCCCGCCTTCTTACTTTGCATTGCTCAGGTTACTAAGTTACACAATTTTTTGAAAAACCATCGAGAGGGCAATCCAAAGGCTCTAAATAAAATGGCATTGACTTGAAGTCGGTTTTAGTTTGAGAACTTCAAGATGGGGCAAAGATGAAATCAATATTGTTGATTTATATGCCTATAAAAATCAATTAACCTAAGTTGTAACAGTTAAGTTGTGGAAACAGTATTCAGTTACAACTATAATTCTTGTGTTAACACAGTTATAAATCTACTAAAAGCAGAATAAATGAACACAAGAAATTAATGTGGTTCAGACACAAATGTGCCCTACATCCACGTGGACCTGCAAACACGATTTCACTAGTTCAGATTTACAGTGTACATTAATAGGACTTATTAAAAACACTAAAGACTCCCTCTTTATGTAATATGCCGTTCTTGTACACAACTTGAACTCCGTGTCTCTTCCAACAGCAGCTCCACACCGCGTGCCTCGAACTCCCTTCAGGCCTGAACTCCCTTCAGAAACGCGGCTGATCTCCCTTGAGATCTATACAGCAGATCTGTATATATTGGCACACACAGCGATGGCACAGTGCAACGATGGCACAGTCCTGCTCCGCAGAACGCCTTGGCAAAACTTCGATGCTATGAAGAGGTTTTTCTCCCAAATAATGCCCACGGTTCTTGTATGTCTTGGAGGCTTATATAGCCACGAAAATAAGCCCTAAGACCTAACTTGAACCCCAAGAAATCTATTTAACTAGGTAATAGAATCCTAGTTGATTTCTACTTCTATTCTAGATAAGTACAAAAGATACCTAACTAGAATACAATACATGGAAATAAATCTAAGTCCTAATAGAAGTATTATAAGAATAGGACTCTAATAAATTCCAAAATAAATATGGAGAACAAATCTTTGCCAATCTTTTAATTCCAAAACTTGGCGGATTTCCTCGATCTTCAATAACCGGAAATATGGCGCCAACAATCTCCCCCTTTGGCATAGATTGGTCAGAATCCATATTTAACAAGAACTCCCCCTGCATATGAGATTTTCTCTCTTTGCAGGAATGATTAACTCCCCCTGCATCACGTACTGTTAGTACAACAGAAGTTGCAACACATAGATGTTGTAACAGAGAAATTTCCTGCAGCACAAAGTTATCCAAAACAAGCCCAAGGCACAAAATAAAGATAACCAAGGTGATATCCAAAAGACATGAAAGTAATCATAACTATAACAGTCCTAAATAAGACATAAATTTAAGCAGTTCAAAAAGGACAACAAAAAGGATTTTCAAAGAAACTTCCCTTAATAATCATAGTCGGAGAGCTGATCATTATCATGAGAACTGTTGGACGCTTTGCCTTGCGGTTGTGTACTGCTGCTTCATCCTTGAAGTTTTTGCTGGGGCATGCGGAGTTGCATCTGGAGTTGTTGCTACTCCCCCTTTCTGACCAGACTGTGCCAAAGTCTTAAGAAGCTCGTCCTGAATAGACGAAAACCCTTGAGCAAGCTGAGCCTGGATAGTCTCCTGAAAACGAGTGAGCTCATCCTTGGTGACCACATCAACTGGCGGCGGAATAGACGCAGAGACAATTGGAGCCTTCTTCGCACGAGGGACCGTCTGAACAACAGAAGGATCGACAGGCAGATCAGCAAAATGTTCAGAGAGGACCTTACCATGGATAGTGATTGGACGGCCAGGAGGATCCAACAGAGTGGCATGACGAGTGGGCATGCCTTGTTTGATCAGAAGCTGATAGATCAGAGAAGGAAACGCCAGATGCTCACGCTCGGTGCGGGAATTGGCTAACGCACCAATCTGATTGAAAATCAATTCACCAATATTGATTTTGAGGTCATGAGTGATGCACCATAAAAACTCGGCTTGGGTGGGATTGAGAGTAGCATTGTGAGTAGTGGGAAACTAGTTGGAAATGCCTATCTTGAACAAGACCGAATACAGTTGAGCCAGCTTAGAGACATGAGAAGCAGATTTCGGACCAGACCATTTTTTCAACACTTTTGCAGTGAGAACAGAGGCCAGAGTGTCCATAGAAACAAAAGGTTGGAAGTAACCCCGTTTGGACGCTTATAAAAGTCATTGATCAAAGCAGGAGTTACAGATGTAATCCTCACGTGAAGTTTTGTAAAATTCTCATTGATACAACCAGTTTCAGGAGCAACAGTAGAGGTCATAGATGCAGAGTGAACTCTTTTTCGCCTTGAGAGCAACCTGGACCACAGACAAAGCATCTTCTTAAGGATCATCAAAATGCTCAACCAATACCTTAGGATGAATAGTGATTGGTCGTTCAGGCATAGAAGCTGAAGTTCCCACTAAGAAATGTTGTGACAGCGAGTGATAGATCAACGAGGGAAAAGACAGACACTTCAACTTTTTGTGCGAGAGTTAGCAAGAGCTTCATTTTGAGCAAAGATGTACTCCCCAATGTTGATAAAAACAGCATGAGTGACGCTTCAGAGAAACCCAGCATTCAGTGATCACAACGGCTATGGTGTCATTGACACAAAAGGCTTAACAGTAATTTAATTCTGACACCAGTAACCATCTTTATGCAATTCAGGAGCCACATTGAAAAATTTCCCTTCGCAAGTAACCGCGAGACCCAACAATGGAGAATCAACAGAAAGTTAGAACTCTGGTGAAGATTCTGATGACTCAGATCTAGTTGGATAAATGGCAGTAAAGGCAGCATAAGTCTGCTCAGAAAGAGATTGGTGGCCACTCGAAGCGTATGACTCATTCGCAAGACCATAATTGCTCTCAAACTTCCTTTGAGGCCGGTAAAGCTGCACATGGGCGCTGAAGGTAGCTTCTTCAATTGTGACATGGTCTTCACCACCAACATCTTCTGCCTTAGACATGGAAGGATCACTTTCAACCAGAATATTGTCCAGCGGATCAGAGACAACACCTTATTTGGAGCTTGGGGCTGGTGACTGCACATGTGTGAGTATGGGCTCCGGAATTGTGACCATGAGAGAGATGGAAACTCCAGAGACCACTGTTGTCGTCACAGACGTTGACGTGTTTTCAGACTTCTTGTCGGACGGCGATGCACAGTTGTTTGTGCTTCCTTATTTCAGACCCCTCGATCGATTTGTCTCTTTCCATAGTAAATCTGTGGAGCACAGAAAAGAGAAGAAACGAGTAGCTTTCGAAAAACATAGAGAGATATTGGAGAGAGAGGTCGAGTATAAGAAATATTGAGAAATCCTAGAAGCCCTAAAGATAGGATGATAACAGATCCCACAAACATCATGATAAAACAGAAGTATATTCCCACATGCTTCTTTAGAGATTCGAACAGATCACGTATCAAGACAGTCATGTGTCAACAGTCAGCCCGAGGCCACAATAAACTCAGAAACCCTAGAAGGAGCAGATATTTAAAGCACAAGGACCGAGAAAAGAGGCAGAAAAAGAGAGGACTCTTCAAATACCGGATATTTTCAAATCAGAAGAAGATCCCACAAAATCCATGACCAATAACAAACAAGATATTCTCCACACGAAACATCAAAAAATAGAGAAGGCAAATGACATGGCCATAGCCACGTGGCCAGAGACAACTAGTAGCCGAAAAAATTCACAAAGCCCAAAAAAAATTTGAAAGAAAGAAAAAGAATCACATCTTTTAAGGAAAAGATAATCAAGAAGATCACAAGATTAAAAGATTGAGGGCTTGGTTTTCATGAATTAATTTTATAATTTTAAAGAAAATCACAATAGAAGGCCACCGATCAAGCTCTTGGATGCACGATATAACTATAACCCCATGACCATACTCAAGAAACCATAATTTAGGTAATATTATTAGGGTTATGAATGCGTATGCGATTAGCACAGCAATTCGATCGTGTACTTCAAGGAGAATTTCCTAATATATGCTTGAATATCATCCCAACTTTTGTCTTTTTTTTTTTTTTTTTTTTTTTTTTTTTTTTTTTTTTTTTGAATTCGAACCATTTTTCTTCTCCTCCACTTTTTTTGTTGATATGATGTTCAAGCAAACATTAGGAGGGCAACCTCCTTAAGAATCCACATAACTTTTAAATAGAAGTCAGGGATGCATATGCGGTAGCATAATTCTCCCAATAGAGGTATGATCTTTGAGATGAATGAGGTCATAGACATTGATCACTCCCGATAGAGGGGGCAGCACACTTCTATCATGGCTAACTGTGGAAACAAAAATTAATTCACAAAAACTAACACACAATCAATTAGTCAAAATGAACCTCCCATCATTCCTATTCCAAAAACAATGATGTCACATTTAGGTGACACATATAATGTCCGATTAAAAAATTCAAGTGCAATCCGGACACAAATATTAATTGCACTATCATAGAAAATTCAGTTTTGCACATGGCAAATTCCAAGCGCTTTACGCAAGGAATCAAACCTAAGGAAGTCGAGGGGCTTTGTGAAAATATCAGCTAATTGATTGTCTGTGGACACATAATCTATAGTCACACGTTTCTGCTCAACTAATTGTCTGATGAAATGAAGACGAATATCTATATGTTTTGTCCTAGAATGTTGAGCATGATTTTTTGAAATATTTATGGCACTCTCATTATCACAAAGAACATGCAACTCTTTTTCACGAAAGCCATAGTTATTTAACATATGTTGTATCCAAAAGAGTTGAGTGCAACAGCTACCTACAGCTATGTATTCACACGCAGCATTAGATAAGGAAATAGAATTTTGTTTCTTACTGTACCAAGATACCAAATTGTTACCCATGTAGAAACAACAACCTCCTGTGATATTTTTTCTGTCATCCACATCTCCTGTCCAGTCAGCATCACTGTTCCCTGCAAGACAATTGTTAGTATCTTTTGAATACCATTTTCTCAATTCGGGTGTTCCACTAACATATCGGATAATGCGCTTTATAGCACTCAAATGACTCTCTTTAGGGCTTGCTTGGTACCTAGCACAAATACCTACACTGAAACGAATATCATATCTGTTAGCAGAAAGATAAAACAAACTTCCTATCAAGCTCCTGTATAGTGTGGAATCATCATTTGTGCCATCACAATCTCGTCCCAACTTCTCAATTGAGGTCATTGGTGTTGTTAAAGGCTTTGCCTTTTGCAACCCAAATTTACTTACCACGTTCTTGGCATATTTGCTCTGTGAGATAAATACGTCATCCTCTAGTTCTTTTACCTTGTCATTGCTCAGAACCAGTTCCCACATGTCATTTCGAGAAAACTGCTCAAGTTCCTCAAACTTGAATAACACCCAAAATTCATCAAGAATTGCTTCTTTGATGTTTTTTGGTTCTATAGTGGAAGTGAAATAGACATACCTGACCATTTCCTGGTACTCAACCTTCGGCTTATTGCAAGTTTTCATACCTTCTTTACCAGTGGTAACGTCTTCAGTTGTGACATCAGATGTCGGCACTGATACTTCTGTGATTTTGTCTTCTGGTATTTCTCTTCCAATGCTCTCAGTTTGCTCCCCCATTAGAAATTCGCCATATAAATCTGGTGTATTGGAGTTTAGTTGGGGAACACCTTTCACACAACCTGCATTAATATTTCGTGTTAGATCCTGAAAATTCAAATTCCCCAGTCGATGACAACACATATCTGTGATATCAGAGGTGGTGAGGGGACACTGTTCAACTTGGTCAGTTTGATCAATTTTATAACAATTATCAGAGGATCTATAACCAGATAGAACACACCTGTGGTTTCGATCAAACACTTCACACTTACGCTTGGTGAACAACACTGAGTCGTATAGATCACATAGCTGACTTACGCTGAGTAGGTTTGATTTCAAACCCTCTACATACAGAACGTTGTCAAGGTTAGGTAATCCTCCAACATCCAAGTTACCTTCTCCTTTCACAAAGGCCTTGTTTCCATCACCAAGAGTAACTTGTCCACCAGACACATTATGCAGGTTTTTTAAGTAATTAGGTACACCTGTCATATGCTTGGAGCAACCACTATCAAAATACCAGGAGTTAGTAGTACATGCTTTTAAAGAAAGAATAGCAGGAAAGCAGTTTGCATTATACTTATTCATCCATTTATTATCAGAGTATCTTTGGGAATTGTGATCCCATGCAGCGGAATTGGATGATTGATATGCAAAACTCTTATTTATCAATTTCCATCTTTTAAAGCATTTTGGCCTAACATGTCCTACTTTGTGACAGAAATGACAAGTTGGCACAAACCTTTTTGTATAAGACTGTGAGGCAACATGTTGTGGAGTAGGTTTGACAGTATTATTCACAAAATTAATTTTTCGATTTGGATTTGGTTTACCATCGAACTTACTCCCAATATAGCCAAGACCAAGTTTATCAGGATTTGAGGGATGAGCATTTAAAATTTCATCTAACCTGTTTGAAGGAAAAATCGTAGTGCGATTTAGCTTACTGGCTGATGCCTCTAATGCTGTTGCAACAGGGGCGTTGCCACACTTCAGGTTGAGGCAGGGTTCAGCATTTATCTTTGGAGCAGGATTTTTCTTGATCTCCCTTGCTTTATTGCAATCGTTGTTTCGCAAATGTCTCAGCAATTCTTTTAGATTGTCAATATCCTTCAAAGCAAAATCCTGTTTTACCTCCAGTACCTCATTTTCCAATTCTAGCTCATCGATTCTGGCCTTGAGATTGACTTTAATTGCTTCATTCTCCTCTTCCAGTTCCTTCACTTTCTCCTTCAAACACCTGTTTTCATCACCAACCTCATGACATTGCTTTAGAAGATCATTCAGTTGCTGTTGAATCTTCTCAATGGAGCATTCTTCATCATCTTCTGAATCTTCTTCTCCTGTGGGCAAAAAAACAGTGTTTAAATTTCTATGATTCTCGAGATTACGAGTAGCATACCTGAGGTGTGGTGGCTCAGTGCATGTGACATCACCCTGTGTCACTCCAGTAACCCTGCATGTACCACAGAAGTCATTACTTGTTTCAGCATCACTTGCTTCACTGTCATCATCAGATTCAGAGTTATCGTCACTCCAGGTTGTGGCAAGTGATTTTCCTTGCTTATTTAGAGTGTTTGCACACTCAGCTTGAATATGACCATAGCCGCGGCATTCTCTACATCGAATCCCCTTCCTCACTTCTTGCTTATTTGTAGGACTTCTGGGTTTTCTTTCAAAACTTGTAGGATTTCCATTCATATTCACGAGTTTTCCGAAGTTTTTAGCTATTAGAGACATGGATTTTGTTAGCTTGACTTCGAGTGCTGTCATGGGAACTGGGGGCACTGATGAAGTTGTCACAGCGACTGTTTGTAGAGCAATTTTTCTTTCTTTATCTATTTTGCTGATGTTCAACTTGTTCTCAAATGTCTGCAAATTTCCGATCAGATCTTCAAGTCGCAATGAGTCCACATCATTTGCTTCCTCAATAGCTGTGACCTTGTATGCGAATCGGTCTGGCATTGATCTCAACACTTTACGAACAAGCTTGACTTCAGGATAGGTTTCACCAAGACCATGAGCTTCATTCGAGATATCGCATAGTTTCGAATTAAAGTCGCTTACGGTTTCATTCTCTTCCATTCGAAGATCCTCAAAGCGAGTAGCGAGCATCTGAAGTTTTGATAATCGAACAGAGGTTGTCCCCTCATAAGCTGTTTGTAATTTGTCCCATGCTTCTTTGGCACACTCACATGCTGAGATGATTTTGAATTGATTGATATCAATTCCATTGAATATGGCATTCAATGCTTTGGAATTCATATTTGCGGCAATCTGTTCAGTTTTGCTCCAGTCTTTTTCATGTTTCTCAGTTTGAATTCCTTTTTCATCTGTGGCAACAGGTCGTTTCCAGCCAGTCAGAACTGTGCGCCATGCATCTTCATCCATTGACTTGATGAACATCTTCATCTTGGTCTTCCAATAAGAGTAATTGGTTACAGTAAGCAGTGGTGGGCGAGTCGTGGAACCACCTTCCATATGAGCATTCATAGTTCCTATGGAAGATAAATGGCAAATAAATCAAATTCCCAAAATCACACACTATGTATATCTAGTGAGAGGCTCTGATCCCAATTGTTGATTTATATGCCTATAAAAATCAATTAACCTAAGTTGTAACAGTTAAGTTGTGGAAACAGTATTCAGTTACAACTATAATTCTTGTGTTAACACAGTTATAAATCTAGTAAAAGCAGAATAAATGAACACAAGAAATTAATGTGGTTCAGACACAAATGTGCCCTACATCCACGTGGACCTGCAAACACGATTTCACTAGTTCAGATTTACAGTGTACATTAATAGGACTTATTAAAAACACTAAAGACTCCCTATTTATGTAATATGCCGTTCTTGTACACAACTTGAACTCCGTGTCTCTTCCAACAGCAGCTCCACACCGCGTGCCTCGAACTCCCTTCAGGCCTGAACTCCCTTCAGAAACGCGGCTGATCTCCCTTGAGATCTATACAGCAGATCTCTATATATTGGCACACACAGCGATGGCACAGTGCAACGATGGCACAGTCCTGCTCCGCAGAACGCCTTGGCAAAACTTCGATGCTATGAAGAGGTTTTTCTCCCAAATAATGCCCACGGTTCTTGTATGTCTTGGAGGCTTATATAGCCACGAAAATAAGCCCTAAGACCTAACTTGAACCCCAAGAAATCTATTTAACTAGGTAATAGAATCCTAGTTGATTTCTACTTCTATTCTAGATAAGTACAAAAGATACCTAACTAGAATACAATACATGGAAATAAATCTAAGTCCTAATAGAAGTATTATAAGAATAGGACTCTAATAAATTCCAAAATAAATATGGAAAACAAATCTTTGCCAATCTTTTAATTCCAAAACTTGGCGGATTTCCTCGATCTTCAATAACCGGAAATATGGCGCCAACAAATATCAAATCTTCCGAGTGGAGCTCACTACCTTGTAGACTCGACTTTAGCAATGAAATAGGCATTGTGAGATTCCCATGTATACTACGTACGACGATCGATTTAGTGTTAAATAAAATTTTCACTTAAACGATTCGAGTTTACTTAAGCATACAAGATTGTAGAGAAGAGAAGATGAATGTGGGTCAAAAATCCGATACCCTATGTTGAATATCTTGACATTGAGGATACTCTTACAAACCTTCTCACTGCACGAGAAGTTCTTAAATAAGTCTCTGTAAATTTTGCAAGATGAGCTCATTCTTTTTGTCACTTGGAGGAGGATTAGGAAGCCGTAGCTAGAGGATATCTACATGCCTAAGTTATAGCAACAATATTATGAAATTTATTTTATCGAGTTTAAAGTCATTTGAACGCATATTTTGGATGCTTTTTAATTTCCCCCCAACAAGTAGACCCTTATAGTATTGTTTTTTTTGTCGGAGCTGCGCGCTAGGCAAGTAGACACAAGAAAATTAAAACACACATATCTTTTGTTGTGATTTCTTAAAACAGAAAAAATCAAATATACATGATACCAGTTCGCAATGGTAAATGTAATTTGTTGATGACCTGAAACGAAATAAAATAGAAAAATAAGAAACAGAAAAAAACCTATGTGAAGTACATGTGATCTGCCGATTGGAAACTAGAAGTCCTACAATGTCTCGACGTGAAAATTATTTCTTGTGAAGTCGATGTGATCATCTAATTGTTTCATCTTTTCCCGAAAACTCTCTAATTTGGCCTTTCTATTGAACGTAACTCGAACTTGAAGTTCTTCGTTACCGTTATTCTCTTGTTCCTCCGCTATTTTCATAGCTGCCGCAGGCTCACTACAGTAATTCACTTGGATAAGTCCAAGTGTTGGTATTTCTCCGATATCTAACGGGATTTCCTCCAATTTTCCCAATGCTACAAGAAAAAGTTTCTCCAAAACAGGAAAATGAGAGTTGTCTGCATTCCACTTAACCAGATTGATATCAAATATTAAGAGGAATTTCAGCCGAAGGAATTCCCCCTCAACAGGATTCCACACCGCGGATTCTCTGGCCGAAAGCCGACTGAGTTTCAAAACTTCAAGATTGGGTAACGAACCAATCACTGTTAAACCTTCCAAATGAATCTTACAATTTCGCAAATGCAACTTCTTGAGCGAACTTGGGAACGTGAGCTTCTGCAACACATTATCTGAACGAAACGACAATAACTGAAGTCTTTCAAGTTTATGCAAGTACTTACCAATAGTGTAGAGCGAGTAGTCTTTTATTGACCATTTCGAGTCATCATCATAATATATAGACAACTTCCTGACATTGACGACTCTCTTACAAGCCTCCTCGCTCCAGACAAAGTTTATTACACTCCTAAGTGTCTGTAGATTTTGCAGAGCAAACCCATCTTCTTGTTGGCCACGACTCTGAGAAGGAGGATCATGAAGGTGTAACCCCCATATAGTCACATGCCTAAGTTGTCGCATCTCCCAAATTTCAGGTGGTGCTTCAATTTCCCTTTCAATATATATTGTTTGCAAATTCCAGAGGACACTCATTGACGAAGGAAGCTTGACAAGAGAGGATACTACGTACTTGTTATAAGCAAGATACCGCATGTTAACTTTATCAACAATATGCCAGCGTAAATAGTTTTCATCGGGTTCAACGTTGAACGACATTACTCTCAGCAATCTATTGTTGGACAATCGACTATTTGTGCTCGTTATCAAACTACGGGTGACTGATGCCAATTGCAAAGTATCAATGACACGAGATTCATGATTCTCTGCTTGCACAATTGTCTCATTGCATACAGTACGGCGCCCCCTTTCTGTTCCTCGTTGGATGTCTTCCATCACACAGATAAAATCGTCTTTCTGAGCTAGCTTTAAACTTAAGTCTCGCAAAAGATCATGAATCTTGCAAAATTTAATTCTTCCGTCCGATCCCGACTTATGCTTCAAAATGAGATTTCTGTCAATCAGATCATTTATGTAACCTTGTGCAATCTCTTCCAAGCTTTGTGATTCGTTCGATTTTATAAATCCTTCGGCCACCCAAAGTTCGATCAGTTGGGAGACACGAATAACATCGTCTTCTGGAAAAATTCCCATGTAAAGAAAACATGGTTTAAGATCAGCAGGCAAGTAGTTGTAACTCAAAGATAATATACTCAAGCAATTCTCGTCCTCTCCATAGTTCAAAATTGAGATTAAATCTTTTGCTATATATGTCCAGTACTCTTGCGTCATATGGGACCTTCCAAGAAGACCACCAATCACAGAAATCGAAAGGGGAAGTCCTTTGCATTTTTGAACAATCTCCTTTCCAATATCCACTAGTTTAGAAGGGCAACCGGCATGGCCAAATGCCTTCTTGCAGAATAGTTTCCAACTTTGATCCTCATCTAGAAAACTCAACTCAAACAACAAAGAGTCAAAGTGAGTAGCCACATTCGATATCCTCGTAGTCATAACAATTCGACTTCCATTATTGTTGTCTGGAAAGAAACGACTTACCTCCTCCCAGGCTTCAATACTCCAAATATCATCAATTACAATCAAATATCTCCGACCCCATAGCATTTTATGTAACTCTTGCCCTAATAAATGCTCATCAGTTTCACAACTTTGCCTTGAGAGAAGTTGTAAAAGAAGTTGTTTGACATTATATTTTTGAGATACTGTGACCCAGGTACGAATATCAAAATGTTGCACAATAAGTGGATCCTCATAAGCATTTTGGGCGAGAGTAGTCTTACCAATACCTCCCATGCCTACGATTGGAATGACTTGCCGGTTAGATTGCTGGACAGTGAGCTTGTCCAAAAGTTGAAACAAGTGTTCCTCAAAACCGACCATAGTATTCTTGCCGGTGGTAATAAGAGGTGTACTTGATGAAGTAGTTGTAGATGTGGGGTGTATATCATCATCGTTGGATCCAATTTCATCTTTGAACTCCAAAACTTTTTTCTTGATAGAATCCATGTCTTGTATTACCGCCTGGAGATCAAGCATGGCAATTTCATCTTTTACTATTTTCTGTAGACGATGACATGCGGGTTGAATTTGGTCGACGACATGAGATTCGATTACGTCTTCAGCGGCATAGGCTGCAGATGCAATTTGGCTCTCCAAGACTTCAACTTGTCTGCTTACAACACCATGAGTATCATTCTCTACAAAATCAAGCAAGAAACCAACCTTTTTGCCAAGAGATTCGAGCTGGTCCACGTCGAAGGAAATCGAAAGGCGAGGATGATTTTGGATATGGTCAATGATAGTCAAAACAGAAACTAGAGCTGCATAAGCTGCCATCTCTAGGTAAATATGATCTTGTTTGACTACAAAGTGAACTCCGGCAGCTGCTAAATATAATCTCTATTGATTGTCTTGTATGGATGAAGTAAATTTTGTGGAGGACATTGGACTAGTTGAGGTAAGAGATAGAGTTTAAGGGTCCCCAGCTGACAGAAAAGTGAGTTCAATTATTTGAATTTAAAAGATTCTTATTTTCACATGATTTGGAAATTTAACTCCTTGTAACTTTGAGGCACATCTGCGATTTTTACATGCAAGTTTCTTTTTGTAACAGACGAGTACGCAATATTAATTTATTCTTTTAAAACTCATATTATATTGTGAAACTAAGTCGATTTTTTTTCAAAATTCCAAGTTTTTTTTTTCATACAATTTAATGTATGAATCTATTTAAAAATATGGATTCCAAATTTATTATTTATAATGAGCTAATACCCCGTGTTATTTCTAATTGACATAAAAGCCCTCGTGATAAAATAATTAGCAAATATCCACGTTTGGTTTTATACAGTTGTTGGGTGCTAAATACCTAACACGCAAGTGCACGTATCGCAAACAAGTAGTAAAAGTGGACTCGTGAGAGTCGGATGTCGATCCCATAGGGAATACTCAAATTATCTAATCCTAAGTACCAAATTCTAACAACTATGATTTTTATCCAGCATACGCAAGGTTGTCAAATTTAATCAACTAAATAATTAAACTAATTATGAAAGCAATTAAACACGAGAAAATATCAATAAAAACGGACCTAGGATTTTATCTTCCCCCTATGCAAGAATTGCTCACTCAAAACCCCTCAATTATGAAATATATGATTCATGATTATTAACCCGAGATACTAATTTACTCATAACCCGATGTCGCGTGTATTATGAGTCTATTATTCATAAACGGTTCACTATATGTCTATGCAAACAAATTATGAATAAAGCATTAACTAACAAGTCTCGTAATTGGCTACCTAAGGTGATATCTGTATGTCTACGACACCACATGCAATTGACACACTCATCCGGTGAAAACTACTCGAAGGTTCTTATACTTACCGTCTAATTATCAAAATAGCTCTGTCGAGTCAATCCCAATAATCACAGATAAAGCACATAAATTGATCAAGTTCATGCACTAACAATCATAACAAGTATAAGAAATAATCATAAAATCATAATTGCATAATCTCAAGAAAACGGGTTCACCATCCCCACATAGGGTTCTGACAAAATCCTAGATTAAAAACTTAGCTACGCGTAATTCTTATGATAAACAAAATAAAAACATAAAAAGAAAAGATTAAGAAAAGATAGATAAAAGAAGAATTGTGATGAAGAGTTGTCAATTCTCCGTCTTCGATTCTTCGTTATCTCGCTCCTCTAGCTCCAAGGTTGTGTCCAAAGTTCTTTGATTCATGCTTGGTTTGCTCTTAAATAGATGTCCCAACTAGGTAGATGATTTTAGGTTTCCTTGTGTGATTAAAAGTCCAAAATTGTGTCCAGCGTGTGTTGGCACGGCCGCGCGAGAATCGCCGAACCTTCTGCCCAATTTCAGAATTTGGCACGGCCGTGCCAAAAATAGGCTAATTTTGGCACGGCCGTGCGGGCCTATTTTCAGCCAATTTCAGCATATTTTTGATTATTTCACTTTTGGCCCATATTTTCTTCAAAATTGCAGTTTTGACCCCAAACTTTTCCAATCCATCAATTTTTACCTAGAATACCATAAATCAACTTTTTAAGCACCAATTATCGTTAAATCACACCAAAAGCTCAAATAAAAAGGTACGATAAAATATAAAAATATACACTTAACAACAGCACACAACCCCTTTTATCAGATTTAATTGTTGACTTAAATGAAATCACAAAATTATCCTAAAAACGCAATATACCCAAAACCCAATTGAAAAAATCGTGAAAAAAAAAACAAGAAAAATCGAGAAGAGTCTCTTGTCTTTGCCCTTGACCCACCCCACCCCCACCTCCACCCCAAAATAATTCTTCTTCAAGAACATGCAAATAAGCCATTTTCACGTTGCCCTTCTTCCTTCAATATTCCACCACCATACCCAACCGCCATTACCTCCACCCGTTGTTGGCTCCCCCTCATACCCTGCCGGTGTTAGCCGTCCACCACCGCACATTGCAAACTCAAATCTCGGACAGATAGAGTCCACCATCAGCGTCCCACGAAGTTCCGTTATAGTCGCATCTCAAATCGGCGTTACTCGTCGCCAGAATTTTGTGCAACATGCTCGTGTCCCTTCTTCGACGACGGATTGTGATGTAGTGTTGGTAATTGATTTGGTGGAACCTTGGAATATGTCGCCGGTTGAAGTAGTCAGAGTTTCTCGGGAGAGATGGAACAGAGGAAAGGAGACGCTTCCCTTTCCCTTTGGCATTTGTCAGATTTTGGGGAGTGAAAAGTTTTGGTGAGGTACCTTCCAAACATTTTGCCGGAAAAAAACATATCTACAAAGGGGGGCGCCATCAGGAAGCATTGTGTGCGTGTTTTGCATGAAAATGGCGGAGAGCTTGATTGGGATGAGATGATTTAGAGAGAGGGCGTTTTAGAAATTGTCAAGGACGGAATTGAAAATTCTAAAAGCTTCATTTTGGGGTTATGAAAATTTTGGGGCTAACCTATAATTTTCAACTTTTAATTTAAAGGGTATTTATGTCTTTTCAAGTCAAAATATGCACCCTAGTCGCACAATGTGCGCATGTAGAACAAGATAAGATGTTAGGGGCCTTATTGGCATTAACTAACTTTCACAGAGGGGTCCTTGCTAATTATTTTAACACGAATTTTTTTTCAGCAATTAGAGATTACATAGGGGTGGTTTTTGTAAAAAAACCCTATTTACAATATTAATGTTATTATGTATTTATATAATTTATCCTTCATTTTTTAAATGTAAAACTATATATAAGTAATTTGAAAATCCGTTCCAATCTATATCTTTCTTTTTTTTTTTTTTTTTTGAGAAGATTCCAATCTATATCTATATTAGTAATTTTCTAGTCAAATTCATTCTTAAAAACAGCGCTGGAATCAGGATCAAAATGTTGGGGTCAAACTCAATTTTCGGGACTTGGACAACGTTGCGAAAGGGGAAAAAAAAGAAAATCACAAGACATTGCAAAAAAAGATTTAAATTGCTAAATTCAATTAAAATAGAATATATATATATATATATATATATATATATATATATATATATATATATATATATATATATATATATATATATATATATATATTGTAATTTGTCATATTTTAAGCATGAAAAAAAAAATCTAATTGATCCTATTATTCCAATAATGTATACTTGATATTTTGGGGATGCAGGACATTTATTCCGAATTGTTATTATTTATTAGAGGTATTGGAAAAGATTTAAAAATAAGTAGATATTCATATTTTTTTATCTAAAATAATACAAGTTTTAACCATTTTATTTTGGGGTCTTTAGCAATAAACCCCTTAGATGAATAATAAATTGTCATATGTCCAACCCTCAAATCTTTCTTTGTGATAACCCCTTATAAATATTAATTCCAATACTACCCTTCTGAAATTATAAAATTTCCTATCCAATAATTCACGTTTCTCGCTTTCTTTAAAAAAAATGCCAAAATAATAGCGATTTGTTTCCAACTCAATATCCCAATTCCTTAAAATTAGCCAACTAATTAAAAAAAAAAATCAGCTTAATATATGGTCCATAAAATTCGTCAACAAATTAACAAAAAACAATTGCTTTGTGACATACAAAATCAAAATCCACTTGCAGACGTAAAGTTTTTTATTATTTTTTATTTTAATATTTTTTTAATATTTTCTTAAATTCTTTTAAACGAAAAATTAATTTTTTTCCGGACAAGTTTACTACGCCGAATATGACTATAGTTGAATATGACTATAGTCATATTTCCTTAAATTCTTTTAAACGAAAAAATTGATTTTTTTTCTCCGATAAGTTTACTACGCCGAATATGACTATAGTTGAATATGACTATACTCTAATATGATTGTGTGTGACTATAACAACTCTAGTCATATTCTTTCTTTATTTTGCCGGTTTTTGCATTTTGAACTTTAAATACCAGGTTATATAATGTAGATAGTCATGTTTACCAAATTGTATAAAAAAACAAAGATCGCCTATTATTTACGAAAAAAATCCAATCAACATCCACACAAAAAAACAACCATCAGTATCATTATAAATTAGAAAAAAAAACCTACAGATCTTAAATATGACTATGTACGACTACATATGACTACATAGCTGATTCTCTCCAGTTAGTCTGTTGTTCAACAATTAATTCGAGAAAAAAAATATATCAATTAACCGTGACTAGTGTTGTCATATTATGTATGTATTTCTTCAATGACAGTGAGTTCAATGTGACTACACTCCTAATTGCGCTATGGGTTCCTCAAATCTCGTCGGCGTTGTTTTATTTGCATCAATTCGGTACGGGTTAGTGGTGAGGAGGCAGAGGCAAGAGTGTTTGAGGTATTGATGGGCTTGGGAGGAGGAAAGACGTAACCATAGGTGACTGTTGTGGCCGGTGGCTTGCATCTAGAACAAATAAAATAGAATTAAGAAGAATGAATTACAGTTGGTAATATTGTCGGGCTCTCTTGAGTACTCCACCTGACAAAAATAAACAAAGTTTGAATCTTAATTCATGAGAATATATATATATATATATATATATATATATATATATATATATGGGGTCATTAGCAATACACCCCTCTTATAGATAAAAACTAGTGATATGTCCATACCATAATTCTTTCTTTGTAAAACCCCCTAGAATATTTAATTCCATTTTTACCCCTCTAGTAAGTCACGTTTATTTTTTATATTTATCCAATATTTTCAAATCCCTAATAATTAGGCACCTAATCCTCCTAATTAGGTTTAATTATTTACTTTTCCTAATAAAACTGCTCCTAAATGAAATAAATTAAAAAAAAAAAAAACAACCGCATCGTCTTGAATAACACACAGAGATTTGGTTTTCTCCCAAATCAAAAACCGGCAAAAAAAATCGAAACCCTCTCTTCCAATCTGCAGTCACATTCCAAAATCGAAGATATTTGATACAAAATCGTCCACACACTTTATCCATTAATAGTCGTATTCTGTAGTAGCTGTGTTTCGGTAGTGATAAACCAGTGAAGTTGAGTTGCGTAGTCACATTCGAATCTGGTTTCTGAAATGAAGAAGAAAGCGTCACATAATACTATATGACTACTATGTGACTACTATGTGACTACTATGCGACTACTTCTGATGAATAAATCTGCACTACCTGTAAATACAAATCACATGATATCATGTGAATTCAATTCAACCACAACAAACACATTGAAACTTACACTAACATATCAAGTAACGCAAAAAAAAAATTACAATAAAATTACACTAACGTATCAATTAACACAAAACGAACAAAAGATTTGCAGAGTAGTCACAACGTGACTCTCAACGTGACTCTGTGTAAAAAGGTATAAAATTTTCAATCAGTAACATTCATCTACACCAATTAAGACGACCCAAAAAAGAAACAATGAAATTTCGGTTCTAAATACACATACACACATATCTGAATACACACACTACAACCCGCCACAATTACGAAACCAACAAAATTAAAGCGGAACCTCTGACCTTCAACACAGTTTAACTCCGGCAACGATCGCAGAATGGTTGAACGGCGACGATATCTCTATTCTCACCTAATCTTGACTGAAATCACGCCTGTATATCAAGGAGAATTACATCCGCCTATAATAAAGGGAAACGGTTATGGAAAGATATCGTGATGAAATATTTGATTTATTATAAAAAACTATTAATAAGGGTACTTATGTCTTATTATGTTTAATTGAGGGGGTTTCACTAATTAAGTTTGGGATGTGGGTTTTTGCAAAAGTCTTAAAAGTCAATTGGGTTTTACTCATAATATTTTCCATTTGAGGGGGGTATTGCATATTTCCCCTTTTATTTTATATCGTATATTAAATATGCAATGCGAGATCACTTGAAATGAGTAGTTCTAAGGTCAAATTGCTAAGTATGCAATGCTCGCTCGTCTTTCCTGTAAAATCGCTTAGCACACTATGTGACACGCCCGGGGGTTCCCGGCTATTACACTCCGACGCTTAAGTCCAATGATGTTGCGTGTCGATAATTAATTCAATACTTGAAAGCAATTAAGTCAATAAGAAATCGTGTATCTTAAAATGTTAATTATATTGAAGATTAAATCAAGATTAAATAGATAAAAGTTCACATGAACTTTTTACAATTTAATCAATGTGGGATGGTGATTTCTTTTATTAAATTAAGGAATAAGTCACATGAATATCTACAATTGATATAAGATTATGGAGAAGTAATAAAATTGGGGGTCAAAAGTAATAAAAATAAAATATAATATGATAAAATACTTGAATTTTTTTTTTTTATTAATCTTGGTAGGGTTGGGACTTTGGGATCGGGATTCGGGATCCCGTCCCGTCCCGAATGGAATTTTACTATTTGAGACTAAAACTTCGGGAATTCGGGATTACGGGATTCGGGATCGGGATTAGAAACAAATACGGGATTGGGATCGGGAATTGGTTCAATCCCGATTGGGATATTTTAATCCCGAATTAGGAATTAAGAAAAAAAAAACTAATAAAACCACACACACACACACACACACACACACACACACACACACACACAAACTAAATAGTGCAAGAACAATAGTATATATATATATATATATATATATATATAGATATATATATCTCTATTGGAAAAAAAAAACAATATTTCTTAGTGTTTAAGGCAAAATATGGGATTCCCGATCCCAATCCCGAATTCCCGAAATATTTAGGGATACCGATATTATCGGGATTTAATAGTATGGGACGGGATTGGGATTTAAAATTTCTATCCCGAATCCCGAAATCCCGATCCCGAAAATCCCGAATTCCCGAAATCCCGTCCCGAACTCACCCCTAAATCTTGGGGTTCAACAGCCACTGTTTTAGAGTGTCTTCAACAGTAAATATTTCATATGAAATAATACACGGGTTAAATACACTTTGCACTCTGATGTATAATAGCATACGTAACATTTACCCTCAACATTAATTATTTTATATTTTAAAATATAAAAACTAATAAACATAACAATCTAATAATTATTGGATAAAAAAACTGATAAGTAACTAAAAAATGAAATTATTTGGAAAAAATTAAAAAGTAATATATGTTGTATAATAATGAATGCAAATATAATTTACGAAATCAATGAACTAAAATATATTTGAATACTTAAGATTACTATTAGTTATGTATTGATTTCTTAAAATTTATCGATATGAATATATTTGATTACTTGTTCCAATAACAATTAGATGTTATTTATTAAATATATACCCAACACAAGATAATATTTTTAAATTTTTAAATTTTTAAATATTGCATTTTTCAATAGATATTCTTATTTGTATAATTTAATTATTCTTTTAGTTATTTATTTAAATAAAAAAGAAAATTTTAATGTGTAAAGATTTAAAATAAATATTAAATTGAGTTTGAAGCGTAAGTGTTACAAATGATACTTTAGAGGATAAGTGTTACAGAGAGTATATTTTAGGGATGTAAACTATATGTGAGCAACTCCAATGGGGATATATCAAAATGGAGCATTAAACATTCAGTTGATACTTCATATAATACTTCGATACTTTTAGAAGAAAAAAAACCACTCCAACCACAAGTATCAAATAGATTATCAAATTTTAAATATATGGATAATTATATTTTTAAATTCCACATGTCAAATAGTAATAAGTTAATGGGGTGGTTATGTTTTTGATACCTCATTTTCCAGAGAGTATTTTTGCACCTCGGGGTGATTGAGTAACAAAATAATTCTCACTTTAATGCCTCCATTGGAGAAAGATTTTTTAATTTTAAAGTATCAAAGTGGTAGATTTTTAGTTTGATACTTCATTTAATTCCTCGTTGGGTTGCTCCAAACCTTAATACACCCTTGTGAAAATTCAAAAGACAATTACTATGCCCGAGGGGAGAAGATGAGCGCCAAAATGGTTCTCACGTGCCAAACACGTGCCTTTTTCCAAGGACTCTAATTGATTTTCAAAATACATAAAGCAAACACGCCCCAACTTCATTTCGCCTTTTCGTATACTTGAGTGTATTTTGTAGTTCAATTTAGCTTCGAACTCGAGTGAAAAAGGCTCTAATAATCTGAGTAAGAGAGAGTATGGCGATAATGGAGGAAGATTCGCCTAAACGGCGTCGTGTCGGGCTGATATACGACGACAGAATGTGCAAACATGCAGACCCAGATGATGACGACCACGTTGAACACCCCAATCGCATTCGCGCCATTTGGGACAAGCTCAACGCCTCTGGCCTTGCTCAACGGTATGCGTCTCTCTCTCTCTCTCTCTCTCTCTCTCTCTCTCTCTCTCTCTCTCTCTCTCTCTCTCTCTCTCTCTCTCTCTCTCTCTCTCTGTGTGTGTGTGTGTGTGTGTGTGTGTGTGTGTGTGTGTGCGAGTGAGTTTGTGAAATGGGGTTGCACGTATTGTGCATAAGCTAGTATGATTTTGTGCCATTTGTTTCGATTTTTTTTCGCTGTTTTGTAGGTTATGTTGTTGTGGTTGATGATTCTGATTTGGGCGTAGGGGTTTCTGTGTAGCTGTTAATTTTTATGTGATTTTTATCAGTTTTAAAATTGAGGATTTATTAGAGCAGGATGAAGATTAAAAATATGTGCTTTTTCACTCAAAAATATTCTATTGATTTTTTTTATGCTCACAAAAAAATCTGAATTTGTATACCAACAAATCATTCTGAATTTGTATACTAACAAATGATTTCGATTTTTCAGATGTATTGTTTTAAAGGCCAAGGAAGCAAAGGACACTACAACATTTTAGGGCTTTTGCGACTCTTTGTATTCCCGACGGTTTCAAAACCGTTGTATAAAGTGTGTTTCTTGACGCTTTTGAAACTTATCTCGACACATAAACACAGTCAAGTAAAAGTAATTCTTGACGCTTTTAAAAATGTTCTCAGACGCTTAAAAACTGTCAACAAAAATAAATTATATAATATATAAATTATTAATCTCTAACGTTATTAACATTACTTTTTTCTCACAATTTTTCATTTATAATCAGACCGATACAATCTCCCTCTAACCTTCGATTAGGGCTTTTCTCTGAATAATGACCTTCTCTTCGACGCCGTACCTCCGCCGCCGCGTCCGCCTCCGCCTCGCCATTGCCGCTAATGCCGAGCCGACATCTCCGTTGCTATTTCTTCCCTCATTATCGAACTAATCATTGTGAAATTACAAATTGAAAAAGGCGAAAATCCTTCAACACTGCAGTTGTTTTGAATCACCCGTGGATTGCGTGAAAGGTTAGTCTCCTCTGTTATTATTTTCCATTTATTTTAATTGATCTCATTCCATCCGTGTGGAATTCAGTATAGGAAGCTAACAAGTGATTTTTAGGTTAATTTGATTGCTTGAATTTAAGGGGTCAAGTTAGGATTTGAAACAAGAGTTTGCAGATTGTGAGAATCTACAACTTGATTTTTAGAATTTACTTAATTACAGTTTGCTAATTTCCCAAGGTTTCAATTTTTTATTCTTCCAACTTTTTTGTTTACTAGTGTTGTTAATTTCTCAGTTTGTGCACAATGACAATTTATTTTACTTACTTTTCTTATGATACCAATGATTGTGTTTTGAAGGATGCTTTGGAATAATTTGGTTACCGAAATACTTGTGCAATCTTCCCCGAGACCAAAATGGTAAAATAAACCTATCTAGAACACTTCAAGTTTGAGATTTGTTTAGAAAATCTATGTATCAAGCATTTAATATGATATAAAATCCCATTGATAATGTGCAAATTAATTTGGAGTTACGGCTAAAAAATGGGATAGTATATACACCATGCTGGGGACTATTTGTCTTCTGATTTAGCTTTGTTTCTCCATTTCAGGTGAGCAAAGGAAAAGTATCAGCCACTGTAAGTTCACCTGTTTACTTAACGTACTAACGTCTTTTTCGTTACTTCTCTTTACTTACGGAAAGTGTACATGATTTGCAGACACTAAACAGATTCTCGTGTATAGCATTAGCTGGTGGCAACAGTGTTTCTCTATGGTACTGCAGAAGGAGGCCTTTCGAATATCAACACGGTTTCGTTTCTCTCCCAAGAACAATAATTTTTTAATTTCTGGTTATGGCTAAATATATATTTCAAGAAAGTTAACATTCTGAGAAATAATTGAATGTAAAACGTAAGCACAAGCCTGTAACATAACCTTTTGATTTATTTGACATTATTTTTGGATGATAATGATTCATATTATTAGCAGTTAAGGTAATATGTGACCATGTAAGTAGAAAATCAAGAGGATACAAATTTGTGCATTACTCTTCTGAGATGATGGGTTGCCAGGTATGCTTGATTATTCAGATTTTAGATTCATTTTTTCTTCCTCAACTTCATTAGATTTCTCTGTCTGTGTTGTTTGTTTTTTGTAGTTGCTGGATGGCAGAAAATATAGGCATTTTTTATGGCCACGAAGAGCGAAAGCAATTAAGTCAGGTCTAACACTAACTTTTGATGTTATAATGTTCATTATATGAACTCTGTTTCCTACTTGTCGTTGTTACTCATTTGCACGGTTTATAAAAGTTAAATTTGGATTGCTTTGTAAATTTTGTTCCATTTTCCACATGTATCTGGATGTTTTTACATACAATGGTCTAATTATAGCACATGGTATAGTATGGTGACTTCTCCTTTTTAAGAATCCCTTTTCTGTCTCCTTTCCTGTCTTTAATTTTAATTGTAAATAATCAGTTTTCAGACATTTTGCTGAATGGCCTAGCTATAGTTGCTGCAAATTATAAATGGTTGGGTTGATTATACCCTTAAAAATGATTAAACTCATTCTACATACCTTTATTATGTGCAGGGAGGACTTGCCCTTGTTCTGTTCTTGGAATGAGTTAATTTTATTCAGCCTTGCTACCTAATTTCAAAGTTTTAATGCCGACTGCTACTTTATCACTGACAACTATATGATGAGCTTTACAGATTAGGGGATTAACATCAAAGATTGGCAGCAATAAAGGGCCTGCTCTATTGTATCGAAATGTTCTGTTTCACCTAGTAAAGTTATTGGATTGCTAGTGACATATATGCTTATATCCAGGTATCCGTTCTTGCTAAATTCATTCACGGTAAAAATAGCATATAGTATTTCGTTGGTGTTTTTATCCATAGTACAAGCTGTAGCTTTTACGATATAATGCAAGCGCAAGTTCTTGAATTGCAGCTCACTGGTTCTCTTATTTTGTAGGTTAGGTTAGCATCGTAATTGTGGATTAGCATTGTAATTGTGGGTTGCAACATTCTTCGCCGATATATCAGAAAAACTACAGCGCGTAAAGTGCATGAAGCCTGACAAGTACTAAGCTATGGAATAGATGATTGGAAAAGTGTAAATTAACTTTATGTTGTAGATATATATATAATTTTAAACCATTGGATAAATAATAAGTTTGAGTATTTAGTAATATAAAGAATTTCAAATTTGGATGTAATTAGTGATAGGTTTTGTGAATGAAATTGGGATTATGTATTCTTAAAATATAGAATTCGTGTTTGGAATAATTACAATTCATTTTTTATATTGGATATTCTTGAGAGGTTTCAGTACTAGTGAATTGGTTCAAAAGCAAAATATGAAAATAAATAAATATACAAGTATACCCGACGGTTTTCAAACCGCCGAGAAAAACATTGCCGACGGTTTTTTTACATGTAAAAGTATATACGACGCCTTTTTTCTTGACGGTTTCCTGACGGTCTCAAACCGTCGGGAAAACTATTCTCGACGGTTTTTTGGTCTTTCTTGACGGTTTATATCCGTCGCGTAAAGCGATAAATGTTGTAGTGGGATAATCATTTAGCTCTGGTTCACTCCGGAAAGCACATTCAATTGATTAAGAACATTAGTTCGAGAAAGAATTCAACAATGAAGAGAACTGCCGAAAGATTTGACTCTATTTATTTCAACGAAGGCTCGTCAGAAGCTTCTTCTCTAGCCGCAGGCTCTGTCATACAGGTTGGTTCAAGATCGGTTCTTGTTTTATTTAAAATAACTCATATTAACAAATAATAAAAAAAAAACTCACAACATTCTTTCGTAAATCTGCTTTCGTAGGCTGCAGAGAAAGTTGCTAAAGGAGAACTCGATTCTGCATTTGCTATTGTAAGGCCTCCAGGTCATCACGCAGAAAAAACTGAACCGATGGGTTTTTGCCTATACAACAATATTGCTATTGCAGCTAGTTTTCTTTTGAACAGAAGAGTGAGATCTAGTTTTTTTTTTCTTAAAAATAAATCGGATGCTTACTTATACTTTTGTTTTTACCTGCATCGTTAAATTGACATTTCGCTCTGTTGTACATTGTAGCCAAAGTTGGGTGTCGGCAAAATATTGATTGTGGATTGGGATGTACATCATGGAAATGGTACTCAGAAGATGTTCTACGATGATCCCCGAGTACTTACCTTCTCTGTACATAGGTATTGAATATTAAAAATGAATATTTACGTTAAAATCTAAAACTTTGAAAATATTGTTCGAAAGAATTTGTTTCATGTATCCTAAATATCGTCTTTTGAGAGTGTGTTTGTGCTTCCTTATTTAATTATGTGCGCATTTATGTTATCTTATCCTTACATTTTATCGTGTTTTTATAGAAATAATTAGGGGTTTCATGAAAATTTCACTTGCAAATTACATCTTACGTATTTCTGTAATGGGCTAAATAAACATCAATACTTTGTGATGAAATTAAGACGTGTCTCGATCAGGCATGATTCTGGGGAATTCTACCCATATGGGAATGACGGGTCGTATAGCATGACCGGGGAAGGGGCAGGTGCAGGGTACAATATTAATGTACCTTGGGAGAATGATTCGTGCGGAGATGCAGACTATTTTGCCGTGTGGGACCATATATTAATTCCTGTTGCTAGGAAATTCAATCCTGACTTGATAATGGTCGCTGCAGGATTTGACGCAGGTTAGCTTAAATTATCCTAATAAATTGCCGTTGATCAATTCTAATGCACATTTTGCGTCATCGTGCACTTCTGTATGTATTTAGTATTAAACAAAATAATTGTACGCCTTTCCATTACTCATGCATGCATACGTAGATTCCTAATCATCTTCATTCGTTATCGATTCAGAACAATACCATTTACGTTGTTGATTTGAACAGCCTTAGGCGATCCTCTTGGAGGCTGTTGTCTTAGTCCGTACGCATATTCGGTTATGCTCCACAAGGTTTGAGCTTCACCAAAAGTTAAATATATCGTGTTTTTTTTTTTGTATCATTTCTTTATTATCTGCTCTTAAACTATATTTGACTAAGCATTATTTAAATTAATTTTCACGAAGTGAGATTAGAAAGATTACTTATTGGCTGTTGTTGATGTTTTATTATTTAGTTGATGGAAGGATATGATCTTGTTTCGTTAGCAAACTCAGCTAAGGCTTGTGTCGAAGTATTACTACAAGACAAGCCTCTTACGAGGTCCTCGGTGGATCTTCCACTTAAATCCACAGCACTTGTGATACAAACAGTAAGTACTTAGGTTTCTCGATTGTTTATTAAGTGATAATAATATTTTTTTTTTAATTATCTTAAATATATATGTTATTTTGCTCAGGTACGCCAAGCGTTAAGCAAATATTGGCCGGTTCTTGCTTCTGAATTAACGGACGAAGTAATCAATAGCAGTCGCAGACCATCACAAACTGAGGTCCAACTTTTGCTTGTCTAACGATTTCTTTTTTTATTCTTTTTTTTTTTTCCAAAGTTGATGTTGGAATTCCGCATTTTTATCCAGGATGTAGCTGATACCTCCACCGCTAGTGTGAAAGGGAAGTCAAAAGTTGAACAGGTTCGTAGTGCTGAGAGAAAAAATGACAAAAAAAGGAACGTAGCAGGTAATTCTTTGCAATGTATAACTTGTTCTTCTAAATTCGAGATTGCATGTAAATCATAAAATTTTGGTTTTCTTCGTTAAAGGTGAGCTCGTGCTTAAGTTCATGAAAGAGCAATGCTTGGCCGTAAAAACGGAGCAAAAAACACCTCCTCATTCGTGGGACCCATTACTACAAAGCATAAAATACGAACAAATAACCATACATGCATCTCAACCACAAAATCTAAAATTAACATAAAACAGGACAGAACACAAACTACTAAAACAGGACAAACCACAAACTACTAAGAACAAAATTGCATGGTACTAATTTCCCCCAATTTCAAATACCAAAATTCATACAACAATAAACTAGATTACTACAAAGCATAAACACGAACAAAACCACTGAAAATCATAATTTTCAAAAAAAAATAATAACCTGAGAAATCTGATATCAAATTGGAAAACAATTAGACTCAAATATTAGGGTTCAAATTGGATTTTTATTTTTTAGAAATCCAACCTTAAAACTAAAACATAAACAACGAAACTAACCTGAGAAATCTGATATCTTTGCTTGTGAGTCGAAAGGTTGCAGATTGTATTTTGGATTTTTTTTCGTTTTGCTTGTGAGTCGAAAGGTTGCAGATTGTATAATTTGGTTTTTTGATTTATCTGAACTGGGATTGAAAATAATCTGGGGGAGACGAAGAAAGGATAATTTGAAAATAATCTGGGGGAGACGAAGTAGAAAGGATAATTGAAAATAATCTGGGGGAGGCGAGGAAGAAAGGGTCGGGAATTGAGCGCCAATTACAGTGAGTTTAAGTGTGGGGAATTTATTGTACTTTTTAAAATAAATAATATTTATAATATGATATGTTGAGCTCATTAGATTTTGTGATTAATTAAATCATTATTCTTTAGTATTTAAGTTGGGAAAAAACCATTTGATTAACATATTTATATTGATTAACATATTTGCATTGTCTCAGATGATTAACATAGTTTATTGTTGTATGCAGTTTGGTATTTGAAACAGGGAAATTAGTACTGTGCAATTTTGTTCTTAGTAGTTTGTGATCTGTCTTGTTTTGCAGAAATGGCCTCTAATGAGAAGTGTGCGCATTATTCCCGTTGTTCGCCCTCGAGCTTCCGGGATACGATTGATAGAGTAAAACTGAAGATGGGGACTGCACAATTGGAGGCTATCAAAAGCACTCCATTTGGAATTTTTCTGGATATGCCAAACCTTAGTCATAGTTTGACTAAGGTGTTAGCCGTGATGAGACGTTTTCAGCCTAAGACAATGTCGTTTAGGTTTGGAGAAGAAATTCAGATACCTTTTGAAGCCTCGGAGTTTTCTATGGTGATGGGGTTGCGGTATATGGGGCAACCTATTGACTTACAATTGAAGCTGAAGTCTTCAATTTTTGACGGAAAAAAAGAAAAGACTTTCAGAAATGAATTAGCTGACCTATTAGTAGATTTAGCTTGTAAGGATGATTGTATAGATGATTTTTGTAGAACATACATCCTTTTTGTTTGTAACTGTATATTATTTCCTCAAGGAAACTATTCAACCCCGTCGTTTATTTTTCCGTATTTAGAGGATTTGTCGGATTTAGGTTCTTATGCGTGGGGAAAAGCGGTGTCCGATTACTTGATCGGTGAAATGAGGGCAAATGTAACTGGAAAGAAGTCGTACGTCAATGGTTGCACGATCGGATTACTAGTAAGTAATATATGTTTTAATATCAATTTTTATTTGTATTTTGATTCTTAATTTCCATAACATATGCATTTTTATAAAATTGCCAGGCTTGGTTTTATGAAAGGGTCCCCTCTATCGGGTCCCCGACAAGCTTGAGCCGATTCCCTCGATTTTTCCGGTGGGACAGTAGCAAGACAGGCCGAGAAGAGTCGAAGTTTCAAAAAGCACTAAGTGAACTTACAGCTGAAAAGGTACCACTAGTTTATTTTCTCTATTTAATGCAAAATTGTGAAGTACATTGATAACAATTTGTGTTAATTATTTGTTTACTTAGGTTGTTTTGTTTATTCCAAAATCCGAAGAGAGCAAGTTGATCAATCTTCCAGCCACTTGTTTGGATGATTGCACAAATAGTGGATTTAACGGAGCAGAAGTTCTTCTCGAAGCGAGAGATAATGAAATAATAATTTTGAAGAAGGAAATTGAGGAGCTAGAAGCGAGAGATAGGGGTGAGCATAAAAACCGAAAAACAGAACCGAAAACCGAAAAAACCGAGCCGATATACACCGTCCCGACTTAAAACCACATACACGGTAAATGTTTTTTGAAAAACCGAAAAAATCGGTATGTGTATGGAGAAATTAAAATTTGCCGAACCGATTTACCGAACCGAACCGATTTGGGAATACAAAACTACGTCGTTTGATAGATAGTAAAAATCAGTAAGTTTTTTTGGTTATCAATGTGGCCACATTCTTTGATGTAGTTGGACTTCTTTTGTGATGGGGCAACAGGTTTATTTTTTTGAACATGACATTAATGATATCATGTTTATTAGTTAATCTCATTATGTTTTTTTTATAGCAGTAGGGTTTTTCTTTTTTTAAATGACAGTAAATTTGTTTTATTAGTTAATTTGGGATTGTTAGTTGTTAATTTTCTCAAAGAAATGTGATAGAAGTCCAAATT